GTTCCAGAAAACTTCAGAAGTAAAAGCACGTTTTAACGCTCAAAAAGTGGGATTTTCGCCGTTTTCACGGCCAAAAACTGAAAATTAAGCGCAAAAAAAACGCGAAACACGCAAAAAACGGCGTTATTTTTTTGAGCGTGAGTGGATCACAATCGCGGCTCCCGATTGTAGGGTTTAAACGCGTTTTTCCAAATTCTTGTCTGCTTGGGTAGTTGATCACGTAATATACGAATTAAATCGAAAATGACGTGGACAATCCACGTCATTTTCGATTTAATTCGTATATTACGAGGGCAAATTTGTGGTTTTAATCCCCCTTTTAGGTACGCCTCTGAATACATGTTATTTTTTTCTTTTCTTAATCTTTACTACTTTTCCTGTTTCAATAGCTAAATCGAAACATATTAGATACGTACATGTTTAAGATATGAATAAGATTATGTTAGGTTCAGTACAATATATATATGCTAACAAGAGACACAAGTTAACTGAACACAGAGTTTATGATGGAAATATCCATTAGACAAATAAAATAATCGATTGGGAGAAAACCTATCAATCGCAAAGAATATCAGAGAATGACAGAACGTGAAAAAAAGTATAAGACTAAACATATATGATGACGTAATATGGAAGGCAGGGAAAAGACCAATGCAGATAAGAGAGAGACGAAGAGAATGAAATGACAAAACGTCAATAATAATTTCACATTTTTTTTTCTCTTGCTATTCAAATTTAATTGATAAATTAATAAGTATATATAGAATGGGACGAACTAGGAATCAATTTTTTTGTATCGGACGAGTTCGGATATAAAAAAATGGAACGAATTTTCATCGGACAAAAAATGGGACCAGTTCGGGTGACACCAAATTAGATATTGGAATACAGTAATCATTAAATATGAATAATGCTAAAGAAAAACAAATTGTCACCTAATCGCCATGCACAGAAGTTCATCCAAATTCGATAGAATCCCTGCTTTCACACGAGGTGCGTGTTCGTAGAGAATCTGTTACAAGAAATCTTTTAGAAACTTCAAAAGAAACGCGGATTAATAATGATCAACAAGATAATCTGTATATTTATTCATTAATTTCAATTTAGTTAACAAAAACTTCTCATTATATAATATAATAAAGAAGATACTCTACTTCAAAACAAATAACCAAACGAATTTTTAACCGTATATTGACTCATCGCTCATTTTCAAGAGAATTATTTATCAGTGTTATATAAAGATAACAAGTATTGTTTCTTCTTTAGATTAGTAATAACTATGAATCCGTGGCGCAGTTACAATACAGCATTGCCACGATCGACTCTTTAAAACAAGCACCATCAGCACTCCATTTCAGGGCCAAAATGGGACGGTGTGACATTGCACCTTTGGAATCTCTGATAAGAAGTCTATTTTTGGTACGAATGAATTCTTTTTCATTGATAAACTTAAAGATATTTTATGTCAATAATCATTATCAAATATGATTATTCAGCTTGATTTATCTATTCGAACTAAGACAACATTCGACTTTACTATAATTTGTCTTCATATTATAATTGCTAAAACTGTTTAGAAGAAAAATAATCAAATGTTAGATTGAACTGATCTAAAAACAATTTGAGATAACATATGGAAAGAATTTTCTCATCGGCATAATGATAATAGTGCGTTTGACGTGATATTATTCTACAAATCTATTTCTCTTTTTATTGAACATTGAATAGATTCAATTTCTCATTTTTGTTTACCTTTTCATACCAATTGAGAATAGTTGATGCAAATCGTTTCATACTCGGTTCATATGATGATTCTTTCATTAACGAATCTTTGAATATAACTGAAAGAGTTTCAAGAGCAGGTGCATGCTCAATAATACGTTCAAGAAAATAACCATAAATTAAATGAATATGTAAATAACGAAGAGTCATACAATGAGTAACAACTACATTGTTAATTGAAATAGAAGATAATGAAAAACATTTATGAATATCAACGGCACTAACATCATTTGATATATCAACTTCAAGAGATATTAAACGACATTTATCAGAAAATAATGTACGTAGGAATTTTTTGAACATAAGCATCAATTTCGATTCTAGAACAAAAAAAGCATTTAAATTTAACGTTTAAAAGGAGAAATTGCAATTGACCTTCATTATGACGAATTATTCGAGACATTTTTTCATAATGAGTTAATTTAAAAATATCTTTATCAACAGTAAATATTAATTCATCCAATTGATATTCAATAAGAAATAATAAATGTTCAATCAATTTTTTCGTCAAATAACATTTTTTAAGAATAAGTTTTTTTAATTTAACAAAACGAAGAATTTTAGAATGATTGAAAGATAAACATTTCTCACTAATAACAATTCCATTTTTAGTCATTGAAAGTTTTAAATAAATAATATCATTAAAGCGTTTATTTAACGACCAAAACGATTCAATCATTTCAAACCATCTTATATGATTTAATATCATAAGTAAAATTTCATTTGCGAGATTTTCTAATCTATTTAACATATTATCTAAAAAAGTCGATAACTATTTCAAATATACCGATTAAACCTCCTTCATTGTCATATATTAATCTATTCAAATCTGTCAAGCTTTGTTTATTTTATTTGACAAATTTTTCACAAAACCAAATAAAAAAATACAAGATGGAAGAATCTCTTTTTTCTCATCAATTCATCTAATCAATATTAAATGGTTTTAATATAAATAATTTTTCTGGAAAAGAGTTATTTGACGTCTAAATCTTACGAAAACAAAAATAAATTTTTTACCTGTTTAAAAGTTTCTCTACGATAGAAAAATGGATATATATACATGCAGTTATGCAATATTCTACGATGAAATCACAAGACGGCGGTGAACGTCTATAATGAACGAGAAGGAAAAGCTCTTCCCTTCCTTTTTCTTTCTTTATTCAAAAATGAACCAATTCGACGAAAAAAAAATTGATATCCGACTAATATGATGAAATATAAAACAGACATATTTATCTTTCTCTTAGAACGTTGTGATCTTTCAATTTGATGTGACCTGTAAAAAGAAGGTACTACTTGTTCACTTTAGACATATTCTATGCACTAATTGGCGTGTTTAATAAACACAGATCAAAGGGACATCAAAAGGTGAGGGTATCCGTGAGGGTGATGGTGAGCGCTATGTCTAAAGTGAACAAGTACCACATCTTATTTCTTTAATCACTCTTGTCATATTATCACTGTCCCGACTTCTTTCTGCTTTTCGTTTTGATTGTACGAAATCGGCTCGTGAAACAAGGTCATCTTTAGCCGGTTATTTGATCTCGTTTATTCATCTAGTTGTTATTTTTCCTATTTTTTTCTTACCATCAAATTTCTATACAAAACAATTTAAAAAAGCAATCAAATGCCTCTGACGCATGATTCATTTGAAAGAGTTTTTAATAATTCTACAATACGAAAACATTTACAATAATTCAATATATAATTTTTTATGATTTTTCGCTGTAAATTTTTTTCTATTATCTATTTCAAAGAGAAAATCTACGTAGATAGTGATTTTCAGATTTGAACTCAATTATCAAATTTGATTTGATTTCATGATACTTCTTCGATGTTTCTATCTTTTATTTCTGCATTCCTACGTTTTTTTTTTTGTGTGTTATTCGCTCTTCAATTATCACTCAACATATCGAACTAATAATTTTTATTATATAGGATGGGTGTGGGGTGTGTGGTGTGAGTGCGGGTGTGGGTGGATGTGAGTGTGGGTGTGTGGATGTGGGTGGGTGTGGGTGTGTGGGTGGGTGTTGATGAGTGTGAGTGGGTATGGGTATGGGGCCGTGTGTTAAGGGAAGAGCAATACTCACACCCACCCACACCCAATCACTTGATATTTTTACCAAGAATACCCAGGTCAATCACGCCCGATCGGATCCTGTCGGTTCCAAATAATTCCGACTGAAACCTATCCCAATTTTGTCGGAATCCTAACTAACGGATTCCGATGTCGGATCCGACATCGGATTTGCAGAAAATCCGATCGAATCCTGTCTGTTTTTGTCGGATTTTACTTTTCGTATTAGCGTTTCTTTGTAATATGTTATAACATCTGTACTGCGGGTGGCGGTAACGCTACTCCTCCAGTTTATCATTAGCGTATTGAAATAAAATAAGTACACGCAAATTTTTCAAGTAAAAAAAATCGTTCATTTGTTCGTTTTTCATCATGGACAAGACTATATCGGAGCCAAAATCGTTTCGCTGATTTTCTAATGATTTATTAAAATAAAATAGATAATGAAAAACTGTTTTAAAAAAAATTAATTTCAAAGAATCATATAGTTCTTAATTTTCTGTAGATAGTCTGCTCTCTTGATTATTGATGCCTGTAATCTTCTCGAGCATTAATGTTCTATATCGAATATCATTTTGTTTCATTTTTTTCACAATGTTTGGGTGGAGCAGCATAAAGCCAAATGACAATTATAATGTGAAAAGCAATAAAAATGCTGATAAAAACATAGACAGCTCGATGATCTAAATACGCAATCTACGAATCTTTTGCCACACGATAATCTGATATATATTCCCATGCAATCATACTAATAATACTATGCTCAATAGAATGAAGAACCAGATTAAATATACATTATATTCCATATTGATCCAATGATATTAAATAAGAAACTGTAGGATAAATGAAAAAACAAGTTGAGAGATAAATAAAAATAAAAGAAATAATTAGACTTCCAAGTGGTCTATTCACTGTCCAACGAAATGTAGTCGATGTCAAAAGAAGTGTACATGAAACCTGAAGTCGATTTACTGAGAATCTTACAATGAAAATAATAATCTATAATATATAATCGATATAAATGACTCACTGTATTGGTATTCCAAAAGTAGTACAAGAAGATACGGCCGTGATTAATAAAACAAGACAATATTCATTCCAAAAGTAATCAGACTGACGAGCTTTGAAAGAAAAATATTATTTATTCATTTTGTTTTTCTTTTAAATACAAATCAGTATGACAAGTGACTGTTAAAACTGAACGTTTTCGATCTTCTTTATTACTTATTTCTTTCATTTGTCGACCATCATCTTCATCATCATCATCAATTCGAAAAAGAAAATCTTTAATATATCTTTGTTCAGTGTCGACATGTTCATATAATGACCATTCTTGTTGATCAACAAATGCTTCTCGATTAACTTCACTGAAACGATAAGGATCAGGAATTAATATAACTTTATCATCTAAAAACAGTGATGTTATGAAAATTGATAAATGTTGAACATCCGATGGAAAATGATGTAATTCAAGTTTTTCCCCAAATAAACCTTTTATATGACGATGTTCACAAATATATATTTTATTATCTTCTTTGTTTATTTTTCCATTATATTTTATTTGTTCTTTTAGATCACCTCAACTATTTTCCATATAGAGTTGAGGATGCCAATGCAATTCAGCATATTTGTCAAGAGTAACAGATTTTGCATGAGCTAAACGTTGTTGATCAGCAGCTGAGAGATTAGATGGGAATTTATCAAATGAAACTGATCAACGAAATTCGATGGACGCATATGCTTGATATTTTTCATTTAATGTATCGATTTCACCTAGATTATTAATAAATAAAAGATTGTTTGTGATGTTTTTCTAATCAGTTATCTATTCGAAGAAACACCAGACGAACATGAACTATAATTGCTTTATCCGCTTGTGATGATGATAAATCTGTCTCAGTGTCTGTAATTTGAAATGCTGTTCAAATAAAAGTCAAATACATTCCGATAGTTTAGAAAATTTTCTCAAACCTGATAGACCTTTGCTGATCGTTGACATCGTGGACATGTCTGAATATTTGTTTGTGATTGTATATTAATAAGAATCTGTAAATATTTCAATGATTTTCTTAACGCAGTCCTAATTTTTTAGCAAGTACTGATTGGACAAATCCTAGACAAAAAATATAGACGAAACTCACTAGTTCAACTGCGTAGATATCAGAGCCCGAATCGAACCGACTTTTACGGGTTCGAGTTCGGTTCGGTTCGACTAATTTTTTAAAAAATTGGTTCGGGTTCGGTTCGGCTCGAATATGTCTTAAAAAAGTGGGTTCGAGTTCGGTTCGGTTCGACTATGTTTAAAAAAAATCGGTTCGAGTTCGGTTCGGTTCGGCTAAATTTTAAAAAAACCGGTTCGAGATCGGTTCGGTTCGAGTCGAACCGAACCGAACCATTATAGTTCGGTTCGGTTTCTGATAGGCGTGCCATTTTCCTGTAAGTTTATTTTAAACTAAAACTGTTGCCAATATAAATTTAAATTAAATAAAAATTTTTCTGATACCAAAATTTTAATTTACAATAAATTTAAATTGTTATGTGAAATAAATTTAAAATTATTTTAGATTTAAATTTTTGAGAATTAATTTCTGGAAATAATAATTTTTTGTGATTTAAAATGCAACAGCCCAATCGTCAAAATACATGACTTCAAGAAAAATAGATCAGAAATAAAGAGAGAAACTGCTATTATACGTTAACATCCGATCATCACTATAGTAGATCCCGTAAGAAAACGGCCGTGCTCCGTTCCTATTATTTTCTAACGATAATAAAAAGCTTGTACAGATACCATTGCTAGTAGACCTGAGAGATGAAAGGTTTCTTTTGATTTCTATAGATAACTATACAAAGTGAAACTTAAATTAATTAAAATGTAGCTTAAAATACTTCAAATTTATTTAGATGTAATCTAAATTATTTTGAGTTTATTGAATTTTTTTGAATTTTGTACAAATTCGATTTAAATTCAAAATAAAATGAAATCTTTTACAATTGATTTCTTGACTTGATAAATTTTTGTAAATATAAATTGATCGTCCACAATCCCTGATGTCAAATGTTCGATTAAAGATCGTTTGATAATCCCATATAGCATCACAATCTTACAAAAAAGATTATAGCTCAGCTAATCATTTTTCTTATGTACTTGTCCATATTTATTCGCTTTTCAAAAATTAGTTAGGCGCAGTTCAGCTTAAGGTCGCTTTTTAAGAAGTGGTTCGAGTTCTGTTCGGTTCGATTCTGTTTTAAAAAGGGTGGTTCGGGTTCGGTTTGGTTCGACTACGTTTTTGAAAGAGCGGCTCGGGTTCGGTTCGGTTCGACTAAATTTAAAAAAAACCGGATCGAGATCGGTTCAGTTCGACTCGAACCGAACCGAACCGTCTTAGTTCGGTTCGAGTTCGGTTCGTTTTCGGGCTCTGGTAGATATGTGCAGAGTGAAAATCAAAAACCTGTCGATCTACCGTACAATTTATTCTCTTTTTCACTTACTCACATTCACGCGTCGTAAAATAAATAAATAAAAGACATCGTTCTTCTCTTGCCCTTTGTCCATTATGAAATATAAAACACAACGGGACTCTTATTTCATTCTCATTAAAAAATCATTGTTAGATCCATTGACAGTATCTAACAACAGCTTTCATCAAATGTGCATACCTGTTTGTCTTTTCAAATTCTGCAATACTAAAAATATGAAGAACAGTCATATCTGGGTAGATGATATTATCTTATTCTTTATTTTCAACAAGTAATACGAGATAGATAAAATCCACTCATGAAATACGCCTCTTCGAGGTAAACGATGTGAACAGGTTTAGAATAAAAATGATGATAGCAAATATTGACGAACGTGTTTTATTTCCGTATTTTGAGAAAATTTGATTCTGGAGATAAGAGCCTATCCATAGATACTTAATAGAAAAAAGTGACAAATAATCTGTTTTTCTTAGAAGAACTAATACTTCAAAAGCAACAATTTCTTTTTTGTTGTTACATTATAAAATAGTTTGATGACTAAGTTGGCACAGTGTTGATAAGCGGAGAAAAAACTGATATCAATGAAAAAAAAAGTCGTCATTTTCGATTGCGTTCTCTTTCAATTAAAACATATAAAAGGTGAGAGTAAAGGATTAAATCAGTGTAAAACACTTTCTTTTTCATTGTTCTTCTTGAAACCTATTACGACATATTCTTCACAAAATGAACTCTTTAACCTATGTTTTCTGTGTGCTGTTTTTATTAATTGCGCTTCTCTATCTGTCGGTGGCACAGACGCCTCAATGCAGAAGTTGTTGTAATGGAGGTAGTTGCACTGCAGCATACAACCAACGCACCGGTATGTAGAAATTAATTGTTTTTGAATATTGTTTCACAATTTTTATTCATAAAGGACGATGTTGTGGTACACCTTTAGATCCATGGTGCTGTGCGTGTAAGTGCAATTGAAAGAATACGTGAAGAGATCAACAATACTCGTTTTTATTTTTCTGCTATATAGGGACTGACTCATGTGTTTCTTCTACTCGAAGCTGTAGACCTAGCGCACGTCGTTGGGGAGCCTTGACGCTGGGTGGACTGATTGCTGTCATTATTGGAAGCGTCTTTGGGTGCTGCTTACTGGTGGCATTACTTGTCTTTATATGTAAAAGAATATGTTCATAACTGACATAGAGAAAGTCACATCTCTAACTGCTTATAAGTATGCGACGTTATTAGAAGACGATGACAATGGTGTTGTGTCTCTTAATCTAGCTGTTTTTTTTACTTTGTAATTTGTAAATATTTCGTTTTGTTTATAAATAAAGCATTGTTTGGTTTCAAGAAGTTAGCTCAAGCCAAATTTTTAGATTTTATTCAAATGCTGGTCGTTGAAGGTCAAATTGAATAAAGATCCAATAAATAAATAGCATCTTATTTTGTCTTTGTACGAAGATGGATTAAATCGCACGAGTCCCTTCTAAGAAAACGATTGTATCACAATACGACAAATAATAAATACAAATATATGTCATCGTCTTTTTTTTCTTTCTTTTTCTTTGCATTCGCTCTTTTGGATCCTTATCAGCTTATAGTGTTCTTTTGCTTTGAGAGTGTGGGTGTGGGTGTGAATGTGCATCTTCTTCTCATTCACACCCACATCCACACCTACACCCACACCCACACTCACTCCCACACCCACACTCACACCCACACCCACCTACACCCACGCCCGCTCCCACTTACACCCACACCCACTACACTTGGTTGACATTGACACTCTTATCTTGTAATAATGAAATTACACATGGCAGATAAATAGGCAATATGCAAATGATTCGCGTTACTGATTGTTTTACTTCAAAGACCAATCTTCTTGAAAGTTAGATACTATTGAAATCTTTCAAAATCATATGCCAGTGAGATGCATAAAACATCCCTGATAAACTGAGAAATTAACAGCCAATAGTGCAGTAATAGAACGTTGTTCACGTGCGACACCTACTTTTGCCACAATTCATTCCTGATTAAATGTTATTTGCATCAGCAGAAGCATGTATACTATACGCCAACACTCTCACCCAACCCTGAAGCCCGTGCTAAAATTTATATAGATGATTGTTCGTTGTCTTATATTGTTCAATAAAACTATTTTAAAAAATTCACAAAACTTATTAAAATACTATATACGTTTAGATGAAGTTTTCACTGTTTCTTACAGATAAGTTTATGATTATATGTTTTCCAATCTATTGTTTGGCATTCTTTGGAACAGTAACGTGCTTTGTCACATCTACTACAAACATGTCGTGCATTTGGTTCGCCACAACAACGGCACATATTAACCATTCTCTCAGATTCATTTTGCATGACAATCGATGAGAAATCGTCAACACGAATATACGACTTGATATCGTTTCAACCTATTCGTAGGTATGGATTTATAATATGCATTTTGCTGCCGATTGTGAACACTTTCTTGGTAAAATGTTCGCTTTGTCCATCAGGAAAATTATAAATGAACATTCGTTCGCAATCACGATGTTCATCTTCGATGACAAGATGAATGCATGGAACCCACGAGTATCCATCTTCGATAATTGTTACCTAAAGCATAGATATCACAGTACCATTACATCTGGTAACGAGATTGTAATGTCAAAATACCCTTAGAGTATTCGCGTAAGACGCAATCAGCTATAATGAGAAGTCTTACAGTGTCTAGTCATCACAGTCCTACTACCCGAACAACTACATATATTAAAAGTTGAGAAATTGGAGTTGATTTAGTGTAATGATTTTTAGGGTAACAAGTTTTAGCGTCGATCGTATGAAAGTGGATACCCCAAAGGGCATTATGCCAAAAAATACACTCAAATTCTCAACTTTTAACATATATTTATATTAATTAATATAAGAGCAATCACTATGATTCGTTAGGGATGTTGGTGAACAGATTGTTCCGCTTGAATTAGTGAACTGTAATTCCGAAATAAATAAAAAGCTGTTACTGGATGTCATGCAATTATGCCGCCACTCACCGAAAGAACATATCCTTGATAAACATGATCTTTTGTTGGATTGATTTCTCTTAATGAAATTGCTTTCAAGCCAATTAGTGACTTGACTGTTTTTTGTCGAAATCTAGGTTCGTGATATTGGACTGGTATACAAATAGAGAAATTTTTAGTCTGTTCGATGATATCCGTCTCCCATTTACGATGAAGTTTGATGACTTCTGTTCGATGTTGATCAGTAAGACGTGCCTTGTGGTTTACAACAGAAGTCGCTGCTTTTGTACTTATTAGACTCGGAATATTATGCAGAAATTCAAGGAGCTTTGCACTGCTGCATTCATACGGTAAGAAACACGGTAATTGTAGTTTCTCTGCCTCTTTGCCTTGTTCATACGTTTTCTTGGCAACATCTAGACCATCATGCGTTTTAAGCGCAAGATAACACATGCCCATCGAATAATATGCATCTGGCACTTTGTGATGATTCTTCGGAGCAACGGCCAAAAATGATTTGAACGCTTCAACAACTTCTTTATTATGATTCTCCAGTAGACGCCACGCGACGGCTTTATCAATTAATAAATTGCTATTCGTGGGATCTAGTTCTAGGCCAGCATTAGCATTGTACACGACAGTGTCATACCGTTCTAACCAACCATTGATAATAGATTGACTTAGGATATTTTTGTTTGCATGAATTGAGAAATTGGTCGATTAATTCATGTGAATCCATGCGTAATGAAGCATAACAGACTCGAGCATCTTCATCAAGTTGTGACGCAGGATAATCTGGCATTTCTCTACATCGACAAAGTACTTGATCAACGATTTTTCCAACTTTTCCACGCATCTCTGAGTCAGGAAATTATGCGACAATATGTTCAAGACGATAGCATTCTGAAAGTTCATGTACTAATATATTTTCTTGTTGTTCTGTCAACGTATCAGATTCGATTAGTATTGCCCATGCTGCAAAGAAATGCTCTAGTGCGTTGCATAATCTCTTAGCCTTTATTGAACCTTGATTCGCATATTTGCTTAGAACATTATAATCATATTTGGATCGTCCTTTAGACAGTTCACAAATCGATTTTGATGTTTTTAACGAATCCAATGCATTTTTCACTGCATTGACCATTGGTACAACATTGGATGGATAACTAGTCAGTGGTTGTTTTTTCTGTCTTAAAATCGTCTCAAAATCAGCACGTTTTATTTGGGCAAGAATGCTACCGAATTCGCATGCTCGATAAAATCATGTTTCTGCCATTTCGAAGTCGTTTTTATCGAGTAGTAATTCAGCTGAATTTACCATGGCATTTGGATCACCTCTTCTAGCCGATAATGTGAACAGTTGTTCGGCTTTTTGAAGATTCTTCTCAACGCCCTTGCCAACTTGGAACATTAATGCCAGCCAGCACCATGTGCTGGGTTCTTATGAACCCCAACACCTTCAGAATAATGACGTCCTAGAGCGTTTTCGGCTTCAGCTACGCCAACGTTCCGGCGATCTTTAAATTTAGGATGTTCTGGTGATTGTACAGCGGCCTGTTCAAACAATTTAAGAGCCATATCATGATCGTTTTTAACTCCCAAACCAAGATTGGTCAATCGAGCTAAATTGTACATCCCGGCTGCACTGCCTTGACCTGCTGATTTCGCATAATATTGAGCAGCTTGCTCATAATCTTGCTTAACATCAACATCTCCATGCTCATGTTTATATCATTTGAGAACATCAGCTGCAGCTGAATCTATTGCCTCTGCTAAACTATGTAACGTGAGCAGATTTTCTGGATTTATTCCAATTGTTTCTTGTAATGCATTTAATTGCTCAGGAACCGTTAGTGGACTGAATCGTGGATCAAGATGTTCATAACGCATTTGCCGACCCAGTATATGACGACCTTCATCTAATGCTTTTCGTACCTCATCTTTTGTAGGTTCAAGAGCTAATGCTCTTTCAAATGGATTAATAGCTTTATCATGTTCATTTAGGGTGGCATATACTTTTCCAACGCCAAAGATTCCGAGCTCGTTTTGCATCTTGAAGTGCAAGATATCGTTGATTTCTTGGATCATGTATTTCAAAGATGTTTGAAGTACCATTCTGCTTTTTTTCATACAATGCAAGACAACTAGATGACATATTCGAATAGAAAATTGCACGATCACGATCTAACACACCCGATAAAACGGTTGCCTTCGTAAATAATGCAATAGCATCGGATAATTTTCCATCTTTATGAGCTTGTGTGCCAAATGTATTCAGATGTGCTGCTTCTTTAACGTTTTCTTCATTAATCGATTGAGTACGTGCTTCAAACACACTATCATCTTTTTATTTGTCTAATTCACAGTCACTTTCACCAAATGGCACTAGAATGTTCGTTACATCAGTCTAGAGTTGACTAAATTCAGTATTATCTATAGATTTTGATGCATGATGAGCTAACTTATTTCTTAAATCTCTTAATTGTTTTAAAAGTAAATCTTCATAATCGAGTTCTTATATTTGAGACTGACTCAATATTTTAGGACTATCAGCATTGAGAAGAAGAGAAGTAAGTGTCGCTATATCCCATTGGTGCGAATCACCATTAGCGATAGATATTGTTTGAACCTTTGTCAAATTAAACTTCTTATTTTTTGCAATAACATTAGTTAAATAATTACTTCCACAAGTTGATGAATCATCCCATACTTTACCGCTGTTGAATAGAGAATAACGTTTTTTAAATAATTGACGAAGTATAACATACGATCGTGCTACTAAACGATCTAGTTTAAAATAGTGACGAACGTCCTTTGTTATAGTACTCATTGTAAGAACTAATATGAATAAGTTCGATGATGATGTATATTAGATATGCAATCGACGACTAATTGTAGTAATATACTATTTTGTAATACAAACAAGATGTTTAGTTTAATTTATGTGCTCTTACACTGAAAGAATGTTGACTTACTCTGTAAAGCTTGTCGAAAAATAAGTGTTCTATCAGTCTAGAATAAAAAATTGTGAGACATAATATTTACACGATTACTGATATATTTATCTTTATTTTCTCTCTTCGAGATAAAATGTTCCTTAAACCAGTATAAAGTTTCACACGCATAAAGTTTCATAAGAACTTTTTTCCTCCATGATATAAAACAATACCTTGTGATGAAAACTAATCGATCAGTAATTGGGTCATTAATATTCAGAAATATGAATCCATTGATTTGTTAGTTGTTTTTGAAAAAAAAGTTGCTATGGGTGTAGGTGCGTGTTCATAAAGGTACTACCCATACCCACATCCTGAATCAGGCTTTAAACCGAATATTTTTACATAAGTACTGAATCCATAGGAGAGGTATTTCTTGTCTATTACTTGTTACATTGTTGAATTGCGAAACTGTTCATTTTTCATAGTTGTTACGTTGTTCGGAGAAAGGAAACATGCCTTCTTGTACATTATGAGTTTCTTTTGTTTCATCGACTGCACGTGCATGGAGTGTGCTTGTCAATCAATTAGATCGTTGATGTAAAAATAAGATGACAAAAGAACAAAGAAAAGATTTTTTTGTCTTATCCTTTAGGATTCGTGAACAGTAACGCGAAATGTTTGATTTTTTAATTTCTTAGGTATCTACTTCGTCGAAGAAAAAAATGTACATACGTAAGAAAGAAAGAAAGAGGGAGAGAGATGTCGTTCTTCTGTGGCTGTACGATTCTTTTTACCTGTTCTGTATATGTAAAAAAAAAAGAAAAATCGAGTGTCGTACTTCGGTAGCTGTATTCAAATGTTTGATGATGGTAAGCGACAACGTGCTTGATAATATAAATGTATGCTTGTTGCTTTTGTTCTGAGATTGATTTTTAATTTAAAATATTTATTTCAAATAAATTGAAAGATGAATTTTGATCTTGCAAATTAAAAGCTTATTAAACTTTTAATTGATTGAAAAACATTTTGTTTTTATTTTCTTTGAGAATGAATCAGCTGATTTAGCTGTTTGTGTTGAAAATGCATGGAAAAAATACGGTCATTGGTGGAAATCAATAACAATTTTACATGGTGTAAATGTTAATGTTCCAACAGGGATCATGTATATTATTTAATTATCGAGAAAAAAAATAATAAAACATATTTAAATCTAGATATGGTCTATTAGGTCCATCAGGATGTGGAAAAACAACTCTTCTACGATGTATTGTTGGACGTTTAGAATTAAATCAAGGTGAAATAATTGTTTTTGGTAAACAACCAGGTACACATGGACATGAAATTCCTGGTCGAGCTGTTGGCTATATGCCACAAGAAACAGCACTTTATAGAAATTTTTCAATATCAGAGATGCTTCATTATTTCGGTCGTCTTCATAATATGAAACGAAGAGAAATTTTATCTCGAGAAGAATTTCTTATTTCATTTCTTGATTTACCTTCGAAAACAAAGCGAGTTTCACAATTAAGGTTCTATTTAAACTTTTTAATACAAATGTTATTATATTTATTTTTAAAAGTGGTGGTCAACAACGTCGTGTCTCATTAGCATGTGCTCTTCTTCAACAACCTCAACTATTAATACTTGATGAACCAACTGTTGGAGTTGATCCTTTACTTCGAGAAAAGTTCGTCATTGAAGAATTTTATTTCTTTTTTTACTCAAAGTTTTTTTTTTAAGAATCTGGAGTCATCTTATATATTTATCACAAACAAGTAAAACAACAATAATGATAACCACTCATTATATTGAAGAAGCAAGAAAAGCTAATCGAGTAGAAAATTTTCTTTTTTCATTTATGAACCATAAAGAAGAAATTTTAATTTAGGTTGGACTTATGCGAAGTGGAAGAATATTAGCTGAAGATGAACCAAACCATCTTTTAAATCAATATAATGAAACTGTTTGTTTAGAATTCTATTAAAAACTTATTCAATTAAATTACATGGTTTCTTTTTTTTAGAGTTTAGAAAATGTTTTTCTTCAATTATGTTATGAAGATCAAAATCGTATTCAACAACAAACTACAATGAATAATAACAATCGTGATCGCGATATCGATGTATCCAATAATATTGGCGATCAAAATTTAGAATCAACTTATATTGCTGATACAGATGTTGAAAGTCTTCTAATAACAGTTAACAGAAAAGAAAATTCAAGAAAAACTTGTAAGTTTAGATCGAAAGCAGATAGGAAATAAAATATATTTATTAATGTTTAATCTATTTGTGCAAAACAAATAGTTATTGATTATTTTAAATTTCCTCATATACATAAAATTTATGCATTAATAATGAAAGATTTAACATTGGTTAAACGAAATATTAGGTAAAGTTAGTTGTTTTTTCTTCTGGTATTTGGTTTAGTGATGAGTGTTGGCTTATTTTTTTTAGTTTGCTGATATTTCAATTTCTAATTCCTGTTATTCAAATTTCACTTTTTTGTCTTTGTATTGGTCGTAAGTTGATTTGAAATTTCATTGATTTAACATTATTTCAAGTATGATATATAGGTGATGTTGAACATATTTCAATGGCACTTTATAATGGTGAAGCAGTAAATGGATTTCCAACAGGGAATTTAAGTTTACAGCTTTTAAATAAAATAAATCCTCAACAAATTGATATTGTATGTTAGAATAATTTGTTTTTATTTTTAATTAAAATTAATTTTATTTGAAAATGAAAGACACCATATAATGATTTTAATAAATCAATGGATCTTGTTAAACAAGGACAGCACTGGGGTGTCATTGCTATTCAAGATAATTTTACACAAGCAGTCAAAAATAAGTTCGCATTAGTTTTAATTTACGTATTTTGAATTTTAATTGATTTTTGTTTTATTTTAAAGATTAATAGAACTGCAGACAGATCCAGCTACTCTAAACGCATCATCACTTCATCTTTATCTTGACATGACCAGTAAGTCTATGTATTTAGAAGAAGATTTTCAGTAAAAAGATCATTGAAAAGTGATTTTTTTAAATAGATGGAATAGATTTGAGTGACTTCCTGAATGTAGAGAAGAAGACTCGCATTCTATACATATTGTAAACCTAATCATGTTCCCTTTTGTGTATTTTGAAGAAGAATTTTAATTTAAAAATAAAACAAAACTCTTATGTCGCTCTACAATTCGCATCCAATACTCCCAAGAAATGAGTTAATACATGTGAATCTAACAAATTGAAACCCACTCGAATTGCATAGTTAAGCGTTGATTACATACCGATGCATTGATCCGAAATCTGAATATGGAATACGCAGAAATCTACTTTTTGCCCCTCAATATCAGGACCACCTTTGAATACATAGAAGTGAAACGCTTGTTTTTGTATTTACTAGATCCTATTTGAGAACCGTAATTTCTTTAAATTTTCTTCCATTCTAGTACACAATGCCAGAGAGATGAAGGTTACTTTTCACTTTTTTAATATAAAAACTGATTTCGAGAAAAACAAAATAAAAAAACAAAGTCTACTACGTGTGTCACTTTCGATGTTTTATTTCTTAAAGACAGCTAAAAACCTGGTTGAACTTAAAATTTTCGTAAAAAAAATTCTTTAGAAAGTTCATCATAATCTTTCTTAGATTCAACTAAGTATTGCATACGAGCAGTTATGAAATTCTATTCATGTTCAATCGTTTTATAAAAAACGAATGAAAATATATTTTTTCTATATTAAGATCAACAAGTATTATTAACAATGCAAAATGCTCTAATTAATAGTACAGGAGTATTTTTAAAAGAAATTTTATCCAGTGTAGGAATTGATCCATCAGTAGCTGATCCACCAATTATAATAGAAAATCCTGTTTATGGAAGTCTTGCTCCTAAATTTGTAAATTTTGCTGCACCAGGAATGATGATATCAATAATATTTTTTTTGGCAATTGGTTTAACAGGATTAATATTTGTTATTGAGAAAAAAGAAGGTCTTTTAGAACGTACTTGGATTACCGGTGTTACAACAATTGAAGTTATGTTTGCACATATAAGTGTTAAATTTTTTATACAAATTATTCAAGTTATATTGCTACTTACTTTTACTCACTATATATTTAAAGTTTGTTGTCGCTTTTTTTGTAGTCTTTTTTTTAAATTTTTATATTAAGATTGAGATTAAAGGTTCAATCTTCTTAGCAGCAGGAATCATTTTTCTTCAAGGAATTTGTGGAATGAGTTATGGTAAAAAAAGAGTAGTTTCTTTTTTTTATTTAGAACAAATTATATTGTTGTTTTTATTCTTCAAAAGGTTTTCTAATATCTTCCCTGTGTGATGAAGAAATGGAAGCAATGCAAGTGGCACTCGGAAGCGTTTTTCCCGTATTAATTTGTTCAGGTTTATTTCTTTTTTGAATATATTTGTTTAATTTTCTTTACTGATAAGTAATTAAAAATTAAAGGTATAATTTGGCCACTCGAAGGCATGCCATCAATAATGCGCTTTATAAGTAATTTTACTCCATTAACACATACTGTTGAAGCAATGCGATGTATTGCTGCCAGAAGTATTTTGTTCTTTTTCTTATATTAATAAAAATATAACTTGATCTAATATTTAGGTTGGTCATTGACACATTTTAAAGTATGGCTTGGCTTTGTCAATGCTAGTTCATGGAGTCTCGGATTTTTTATCATCGCTGCTATTATATTTGCTCTTAGAAAATAAAAGTTCTTGTTCATCAGATGCTTTATTACACTAACAATAAAAGTTTAAAATCTTTCTTAATAATCTTTTTCAGCTCTAGTTTGGGTGTGTGTGTGGATATCTGAAGAATTCAACAATTCTAACAACCACATCCACACCCTTGATCTGAATTGC